TTTTTTTTTTCTTTTTTTTTTCTCTATACATACCCTGAATTTATTTATTTATTTATTATTATTTTTTTTTTATCAGCAACTTTCTTCATCTGTATACCACTTATTTCTTTCTTTCTAGTATTTGTATATATGGGTTGGTTCAAATAAAAATTGGTGCTGGTTTGAGAATTATATTTGATGTTATTTATATTTGTGAATGATGCTATTTTTAACACACATGGTGCTACCATTCTCATAAATGTTAATATAAATTGTGTTGCTATTTTTAATTAAATAAATCTATGTTAAAAATAGCACTAAAATACAATTAATCATAGCACTACATACAACTAAAAATAGCGGTTCTCACGGTTCTTACACTAAGACTTAGTTCTCATTTGATCCACGCTCCCTGTATATATATTGGGTTCTGTTAAATAGAGAACGCACAGAATTATTTATTTGCCCCCTCATTTTTTTTTCACCCTTGATATGAAAAGAAAAAATGCTATAAATAGATATAAACAGCAATAGCCCTAATTCATTTTGTAGTGCCCACTCAGAAGTTGAATAAAAGTTTTATGTCCAAAAGCAGAAAGTAGAAAATAAGTAGAAAACAAGGGTGATAGTCTGCTTTATCCCATTAGCTATATGTGTAGTTAGTTAGTCTGGGTTTGTTGTTATTGTCCAGGCCACCTGCGAGTGGTTCTCCCATGCTCTCGGCTTGAACTTATGGTTGTATTCGTTGTTTTGTTTATGAGTAATTCCATCGTTCCGGAAAAAAAAATAAAAATAAGTGAAAGTTGAAACAGAATCTGAAACGAACTCAATGTGGAGCTGATGAAAGAGGAAAGATTTTGATTTTTGAACAATAGAACAGAAAATAGTGGGAATTTATTTATGTGTGTGTGTGTGTGTGTGTGTGTGTGTGTCATTGTCAATACTCAATTGATGGTAGGTTTGTGATGTAGAGACATGGATAGGGTATTATTTTTTTTTAATTTTATTTTATGTGAATTAATAGTTTTCATGTAAATGAATACAGGCGGGCACGCAGACTGAATGTCAGATTTAATGTGAATGACACAAGAGTAGAAAGATTCCAAATGCTGCGCTTAAGTGTCAAAATATTTATATAAGTACTACTTGTCCTCTTTATTGCAACCATAAATGCCAAAGCCTTTTATCTAGTTTGGTGTGGTGCTGTTTTGTTTGTAATACATTTCTTCATATAGTTTTTATTTCCTGAAAAACACACTTTTGTATAGGTGTATTTGAAGTAGGGCCGTCTCGGTCTCTATAAATTCAGAGGCGCTAGGCAAGTTTTTTCTTTTCGAATTTTTTGATTTGAACTTACGTGGTAATTAGGGCTATTCGCAGATAGAATCATAAATTTTAACGAGACTATTAAATAAATAAATAAATAATTGAAAAAAAAAATCTCGTTTTTCTTGCTACAAATATCTTTAATAAATTACAATCAACGGGGATGACGGGGATGACGAGTGCGGGTGGGGTTATTCGTGATAATCTTGGTAATTGGGTTCGAGGCTTTGTGATGAACATTGGGTTCTGCTCGATCATGAGAGCCGAACTTTGGGGATTATTTCAAGGGCTGCAGCTGGCTTGGGATATTGGTGCACGTAACATCACGGTAGAGGTTGATAATTAAAGCGTTGTTACGATGATCCACCAAGATGACTCTATTGGACCGTATGGAAGTCTTTTGAGATGCATTCAGGACCTTCTACGTCGACCATGGACTGTGACGCTTCTTCATTGCTACCGTGAAGCGAACTTCGTAGCGGACTTTCTGGCCTCGTTAGTGGCCCAAGGACCGGGTGGCCTGCATGTTTTGGAAAGGCCTCCTCCAGGGGCAGGGTTATGGCTACAACATGATATTGTCGGTGTGTCTCATCCTCGTCGGGTGCTGACATAATCGGGCTCTAAGCTTTGTCTCCTTTTTTGTACAAAAAAAAAAAAAAATCAACACAAATGCATAATATTAAAAAAAAAAATGAGGCCCCAAATACAGTAGAGGTCCTAGGCCCATGCCTAGGTTGCCTCCTCCTGGAGTCGGCCCTGATTTGAAGTGTGTTTGATCCAATGGTTAAAAATCAACGTGAGGATTTGAATCGTCATTTATTACCCATAGGTCGATTTTTTCAAGAATAATTAGTAATTTTAGTTTGATATAAAGAAATACTCAAGCAAGCCATTTTTAACTCACAACAAGAAGCAGATTGTCTGCTTCAACTCAGACCGATATATGTAAGCTATGTCATATCAAGTCAAAAGTAATTTTATGTGATGTGTTTGGTGGTTGTTTTGAGATGAGACAATTTATGAACACGAAGTTTGATAATAGTTAGTTAGAGCTTGGCTGAGTAATGCTATAGGTACATAATATTGTACATATGAGTGTACATAATCCTCACATTTAGTGGAATCTATTGAAAACAAAAATTAAGTGGACCTCACTTCATGTGAGTGTTATGTATACCTCAATGTACATTTATTATGTACGTATAACATTTTTCATATTTTTAATACTATTTCTCAACTAAGAACGAATTGTGTACGTGTGATCAGATTCATTGAAAGTCTCCAGCTCCCAAAATTTTCTCCTTTTTTAAACTGTAGAATTGGGCTTACAATAGCTGATAGAAGAATATTATCAAGTTGTGGCCCATTTAATATATGGGCTGACATTTGGGCTTTACTTGATAGAGATTTACCCACTTTTTCTCTATGTTTTTAGTTTGTAGAGTTAAAGCAGACAAAATTGTCGGGTCTACGTCATCTCTAAGACATGATCAAAAGTTGTAGCAAATATAACAACTCGTAGTTATTGAAATAATATACTTAAATTTACGAATTGTATATATGTTGATTATATATATCGATATAGTTAGATTCATAAAATACGAATCAATATTTTGCTCTACTAACTTAGCTTTCTAAAAATAACATACTAATATTGCGCTAATCAAACTGACTACACGAACTTAATAAAATTTACGAACTTGATATTCTTGGGGTATCGTATCCTTGACGTGTACTAGCTTAGGCTTTTTGGCATCTTTCTTTGTACCGAAAAAAAAAAAAAAAATTACAAAAAAATGATCGATCATTAAAGAGAGTTTATCACCAAACTTTGCTTGATACGCTGACTTGCCAAATGAATTATTGTTGATGATTTTAGCAAATTAATATATTAACTTTGGTGTGTGTCAAATTATTGTAATTACGCATGCACAATATATAATAACAATAACAATACGATGACATAGCTTTCAAATTAATACCAACCATCCTATATCGTTTTTTTTTTCTAACTTTTGTTTTAACAAAGTTATCGCCCTTTATGAGAAAAAACACTCAGAGGATGTTTGTTTATGAAATTTTTTGAGTTTGTTTGGAATTTTTGGTTTGGTTTGGTTAATTTTGAAAAGGTGGTATGATTAGTTGTTAGTGGATTTATTAAAATAATATTTAAAATAAAATGATTAAAATTAAATTGATGTAAAAGTAGGAGAGAGAATATGTGATGTGATGATTAGTTAATATTATATGAGTAGATGAATAGTGAATTAAGGTTGATGTAGTGTGTATGAATGATTGATTGATATTATTTAATTATATTGATAATATTGATGATAGTGGTGTTGAGTTAAAATTGAGTTAAAAAAGTAGTTGAGTTAAAGTGTTGGAAATTTTTTGAAAATTTTTATAATCAAACATGTTCTCAACACCACTCGAATAAAAAATAACTACAAAACGAATTTTGCGTCACTACAGCTCATATATATGCAACAGTGTTAAAACTCTTGAAGGAGAGCTTTGCCGCCCTTGTGGTCCTACCCGGCTCGATTCCGGATTAGTCGGTTATCATGTGGATCCGAAAACCGGAAGGTCCCTGTACCCAAAAAAGAAAAAAAAAAAAGTAAAGCCAAAATGAAAAACACATAAATATCTTTGGTGAAAAGTAGACAGAGATCGCATCCACACAGTCCTTTCCAGATTAAACCGTTTTGCAGTACACTTGGAAATTTAATAAAATTGATGGGACCACACAAAACACCAACATTACAAAAGTTCCCTATCAATGTCTATCCATATATTTCCATGACCAATTCTTTAATAATATATATTTTTTTTATATATATATATAAAAACATATGCACTTCTTTCTATCACCGAAAATTATTCTTTTCTTAGTCTAGAAAATCCTTGTTTCAGACGCGAATGTTTATATTTTAACTTCAACTCATACTTGGAGAATCACAAAAGTTATTCCTTCTCAATTTTAACGTGTTTAATGTTTTAATTTAACCGAATATTTATACTCGGGGAATATATTTACTGTAAAACTAAAGGAGCGCAATGCTGCGGTCCGGTGAAAAACAAATCGAAAAACAAAGAACTATAAATCAAACTTATTTCAAAAAATAATCAAATTGCACCGCAATTTAAAAAAAAAATCCAACAACAAATTGAACAAAAACTATTTTACATTGACAACTCCCGAACCGAACAGCACCTACATATATGGTTCGGCTTGATTATCCGTATTATGAAAAATCTTTTGTACATTTTTTTTTAATTTGGTGTTGCGGACAAAATCAAAAACTGAATTTATAAAAATTATATATAACTGCGAACAAAAACTGCATTTTACAAGTCGAATCAAACTATGTTAGAGAACAACTCGATTAGAATAAGAACAACATATTTTTCTGCCCAAGGTAAAAAAAAAAAATAAAATAAAATAAAATTGTTGTTTCCTAAAAAACTCCTAGTGAATATTACTCTGCCGTACTTTTCAAAATTAATATGTTAAGGTTATATATATATAATATAAACTTATAAAACAAGATGTAATCTCTTATTTAATGCTAAAATACGTTAATAATATTCTAGAAAATGAATACGGGCAATCTCACTTTCACAAATTCCAGGTTTTTTTTTTTATGTCTCGGCATAATCTCATCCTATTTTAATTGCTAGATAAGGTGGCTCTATAGTTTCTGTTAGAATTTGGGAAAAATATGGTGCTAGAATATATTTTTCCCAAATTCTAACAGTTTCACAACAAGTCATCAAACATACGGTATCGATTTATTGATAATTGCAATTTGCTGCATAATATAATTTATTAAAATAATATTATATTTGAGTGTTTTGGAAGATATTCTCTTACAGGCATAAAACTATATTGGGTGGGGTTGGGGTTGGCAGCAACTTTTATGTTTGGCGGGTTAATAATATATATATAGATTCATTCTTCAAATTAAAGTACACCTCTTAAATATTCTTAATCATTCTACACCACATGCTAAATAAATCAGGTTATTCTAGAAGTTATGTTAAGGAA